TCACCCGGTACATACAATTCTTCATCATTTATCTTTCTTTTATTTTGCTAATGTACTTAGTGGAATATAAAATAAATTTGAAATAATTTAATCGTATTGGTTGTTTTCAATAATTTAATCGAATACATAGCGCCACTTACTTCGACTCTTTATAAAGAGAAGCACGTCTAAGGAAATGGGGCTTTAAGCGATTATCATGATCCTCCCATTTCCAAGGAAAATCGGGTACTAAGAAATCCTCGGATCCCCTCTTTTTCTGTCAAAAAGGCTGCGTTTCTAAGATGATGTATACCTCTTCTAAGAGTCTAACGAGTGTTGCATTGTATTCGATTAAATTATTTAAAACAACCAATACGATTAAATTACTTACCAAACAACCAATACGATTTATGTTTGTGTGTACTTAAATAAATTTTATTAATTTCAAATGTTTAAATATGTATGTATCTCTTTAAATTATTATTCATTTAGAATGTTATTTATGTCAATTAATTTAGTATGTTTGTTTTATGATAATATGCATATATCTTGGAAAAAACCCGCAAATTACTTAAATTTGATTGTTAATAATATAATTATAATAGAATTATGGTCGAAATTAAATCATTAATTTCAATTAATTTAGTTATAAGACTAAACTGTTACTAATATATCATAAATAACGTTGAAATTTTTGCTAGGAGGCACAACAAATACTCCGCTACAGGGGTACGACCAATGTGCTCCCATGGCACCCAGTTATCTTGCCCTTTCTCAAAAGGGCACGGTTGGAGTCGATTAGGCATTTTGTAGGCATAAAAGTTTATCGCCAACTCATCACCGCATTGGTGGAGAGATGGAGAAAGGAGACACATTGTTTCAACTTTGGCGAAGGAGAGTGCACCATGACACTCAAGGACGTCGCCATCCTAATTCATCTGCCCATCGACGGCAAAGCGGTGTGTGTGAGTGATCATCCCCCCGAGGATCGTGAAGATATGACCAATTGGCAGTATTTCATCCACAGTGTTTTGGGGGTGAAAGTACCAACCAAGGGGAGCGTTGATGCGACCGATCGCTTGACACCATTGAGGAAAGGCCAAGTATCAATCCTTGGTTGACGAAGTATTTTAGGGACCTTCACGATCCTGAAAAAAATGGGGTGCCCCTAACTGAGGAAAGTCCGGAGCTAGAGAAGGAAATATGCTCGTGTCTATCTCATAGGCATGATAGGAGGAGTGTTCTTCTCCAAAAAAAATCGAGCAATTTAATTGGCTGTGAATGTCTTAGGATCCTCCTTGGTAGTTGGGATGCAATGGGGGGGTTGAGCTGGGCTTCCGCTTGCCTAGCTAATATCTACCACCATTTGTGCAATGCATCTCTCAAAGCTGTGAGGGAGGTCGGTGGCGCAATGTTCATCGTCCAATTTTGGGCTTGGGAACATCTGACAAGGATTGCACCGCTCCAATGTCCTGACAGGAATTGGGGTCCCGATTATCCCCTAAGACTTGAAAGCTTATGGTTGTAGGTAAATTTCTCATACCCCATCACGATCATAATAACACAATTTTCCTTATGTTTTAGCTTATTTTAGCTTATTGTATTTTTATTATTGTCTTATTAATAAGGTGGGTTAGAGCCTCAACATGCGACAACCTTGCCCAACACAAGTTGGTAGAGTATCGGAGGATGCTAGAGCGACTTTGGGAAGGAGAGGTAACTAAAATACTTCTAAGTGCTATAACTTTTTTTCATGGAGTACATGTATTTTTCTAATCGGAATTAACTTAAGTTACTAATTTTTTTTTTTTGTAGATCAAATTCGATCCATACCCGGCGAACATCGTTCATTGGCATTTACAGCAATTCCCCGAGAATATCGGGCAATGGTGCACAAGGGTCCCTCTCATATGTTTAGGGACCATGGAGTGGCACCTGCCGGATCGATGCCTTCGTCAATTGGTCGGGAGCAGTGCATTCCGTTGGAGGTCCCCGAGAGTCAAAGGGCGTTTCACCACAAATTATCAGCAAGCTTCTTCCGCTTGAAATGATGGTTCCATCTGCTCTTGAAGTGTCGTATGCACCACCTTTGGGACCAATTCCAGGCTGGATCCAAACCTAAGATGGCATCTCTAATCCCGGCGTGCCGATTGGAGATTATCGTTAGGTTCGTCCTCCTAGTGACGTGGATCCAAAACCATCCATAACTATCAGTACTCTCTCCCTCAACAATGGCGAAGGCTAACGGAAAGACTTGTTTGTTTGCATCCGCCCCACTGGAAATCAATAGAGCGCCCTTGTACTTGCCGGTAAGGAATGTACCATCCACTTGGATAACAGGGACACAGAAGCCAAAACCATTAATAGATGGCTTGAATGCCCAAAAAAGTCGTCTGAAATGGCGTTTATTACCTGGCTCTGGCGGTTGTATCTCTTCATCTTGGTATCGAGGGGAGAAAGCAGTGCCATGATTAGACGCCTCCAGTGCCAAAATCAACCTGGGAAGGAATGCATATGATTCTTCCCAATCACCAAATACGGCGGTCTGAGCTTTCTACTTTCCATGCCACGCCTTCTTATAGTTAATCATATAACCATAACGACTTGCAATGTCAGCGATTATGACTTTCACCTTCAGTTCAGGATCTTGCTCAATTAGATGCTTGATAGCCGCAGCAACCACCCTGGATTTCAACTGTCGATGGCCTTGGGATGTTATGGATGACACATGTGTGTGTGTTCACCGCACGGGATATGACCCAATGGTCGTGTCTCTTTCTGTTGATGGCCCGAATCCTAACATTGCATCCCTCGTTATGATTACGGCATCTGACTATGAGCCTTATCGTGTTGGAATGAGTTGTGTGCCATTCAAAATCTCGAGTCATTGCTTCAGTATCAATGGCGTGCCGCACCTCCTTCTTCGAGCCAAATTGTTGGCACTTCATAAACCCAGTGATTGGACCGCATACTGGAACCTCCGGGGGTTCCATGTTGCTGTCGACCATCCAATTGTCGTCTGGAATGTGATTGTAGTAGGGGTAGGGTACACGGTCATGAGCCACCTCATCATCATTATCTGAGTCTGACTCTGGTCCTGAATCATCAGCACCTTCAAGAGGGTCGAAACTGTCTGCACTGACGTTGTTCTCTCCTTCTTCATCAGAGGGGTCACTGACTGGTGCTGGCAGGGCATCTTCCATATGATCCAGCTCATGAAAGGCACCTTCATCAGCTCCATAATGGTAGTTGTGAAAACTACCACTGCCTGATTGGAAGTTGTACTGGGGTTGGCTGGCATGGTCCGGTTGAACTTCTTCTTCATATGACGGGTAAGATTGAGGATGACCTTCACCGTGCTCTTGGTACTGAAAATACGAATGAGGATCATGGTAACTTTGGTAGAGATGATCTCCATATAATTCACCTCCACCATGGATACTAGATGTTTGACCGTCTCCAGAATGACCTCCAACGCCTACGACCGGCTCGGTGTAAACGAACATCTCGGCTCTGGAAAAGATTGTTGGACCTCAAGTATTCGAGCATGACATCTACCTCATCCTGAGTGGTTATGAGATATTCCTCGTGCCACAACGACCCGCATTCTCTGTTTGGATATCGGTACACCATACGATTAACTCTTCTCGTGCCATCCATGCAAGTAACGTTAGTACACATTTGATAGAGGTCTTCAAGCATCGGTCTGGTAGCGACCTTTATTTTCTGAAAATTGCCACCGACGTAGGTTACCCCCTTTTCGCTCTCTTCCGGGTAACCATTCCACCGTAACCCAAGCGTGAACTTTTGGAATGCCATCTGCAAAAAAAAAAAAAAAAACAGTAGTTCAACTAATTTCATAAAAATCACAAGTCACAATAAAAAGTAATACAAAATAAACTTACGAGTTAACGTTAACCGCAAAAAACACTAGACAAATAGGGAGCTACAACAGAATATTGAAAAGGGAGAAGGAGATGTGTGAAGAGAAGAGATTTCCCGGGATGTCTTTTATAGGCTAAATCATCAATGAAAACCTCACCATAGAGGTGCGGTTTTCATCTGCCATGCAGCCCCACGACTGTCAATCTGCATGGCTACATGTCTGGTGTCGGAAAATAATTGACACACAAACCGTATTGGGGGGGGGGGGGGGTGCGGTTTGTGTTTCCAAAACCGCACGTTGAGGGTGCGGTTTGTTTTGGAGAAGCAAACCGCATCCCCAAAGTGCGGTTTTGCTAGGTCAGGACTAGACCGCAACTGGGCCATGCGGTTTGGTTAGGTCAGACACACAAACCGCATAGCCAAGATGCGGTTTACATACAAACTGCACCATGGTGGTGCTGTTCACAATCAAACCGCACCTCTAAGGTGAAGTTTTTAAAAAAGTGTGCTATTTTTGTAATTTCTATGGACTGGGTGCTATTTTTGTACTTTTTTTAAAAATGTGCTATTTCTGAAAAAATCTCAAGGATTGTTAGGATACAATCCAAGTACCACATCGGAAATACAAGGGAATGAACCCTTGTATGTTAGTGCCCAGCAAGCTCATTAGTACGAGGCCTTTTGGGGAGGACACCCAAGAGTAAACCCGTGCGGCCTTGGCCCAAAGCGGACAATATCATACTAATGGAGCAGCCTGATTTGTGACAAGTGGTATCAGACCCTGGTTCGGCGGATCCGTGGCGGTGGACGTCAGTTCGGTGTACCCTCGTTCGGTGGCCTCGAAATTTGAGATCTGCGTCTGATTTGGTAGATACACGAGAGATCCACCTTTGGCCTACATCTGGTTTGGCGGATCAAAGAAGGTCCGCGTCTGTTTAGTGGATCATTGAGAGATCCACGTCTGGGGTTACATCTAATTTAGTGAATATAGAAGAGATCCACGTCTGTTTGACGAATCACAGAAAATTCGCGGCTGGAAATACAAGGGAAGGATAAAGACACAAAAAAGAACAAGAAAAGGAAAAGATAAAGATAAAGACCGATGGAGAGAGGAGTAACAACAGTTCACCCGCTCAGTGCAAATCACATATTTCTTAATATCAAGCACACCAACGTATGTAAATTAGTAAAATAGTTTGTCGAAATCCTAAGCACGTCCCTGTGGTACATATATGGTGATCAATTAACGATCTTATGGGCTCCTGAGATAAACGTCTAAAGTCCTGAAGCCCTCTGCTATAGCATCTTGGAACATGTTCAGGTTGACACCGCCATTGAAATCGGAAGCGTAGGTCAAGGTCCATACGACGGTCGAACCTGGACGGTTGGGACCATCGTTCATCGACAGCGGTTCGACCTTTACGACCAAGGAGGCCGAACTAAAGAACCTGCCCACGAAGGCACCATCGGGCTTGAACCTAGATTCAATGGTTCGACTCGTGTGGTCAATCCGGGTGATTTCCTCGGTCGCCCGTGAAACCATACGTGAGATGGCTGCATCATATATATATAGATAATAATTATAATTGCATGTTAAAAACAAAAATATAATAATTAAAATGATTAATATGTACTTACCATGTCCATAAGTGATCTGCCGAATCGAACCGGGTGTAACACCGTCTCGGTTGGTCACCCGGATATCTTGATACTGCTCATGCATGACCGCCGGGTACACAAATGTGCCACCGCAAATCGCTGTAAACACATCGTCGGACGACGAAGCCATCAGGAGTCTTCTACTACTGTCGATGGACATCGTCGGAGAACCCTACGAGCTTGGAATGGATAGAGAATAGAATGGATTTCGACCCATCATCCCTGCCGTTTATATATACTCGATGATCCTATCTTTGAAGCTTCCTTTTAATTTCCGATCGGCCATTGACCTGATAAACAAAGACTCCATTCCCCTTATAATTAATTATATGCATATTCATCAAGCAAAACGAAATGAAAAGAGGCTCCATTTCCTGTATTAGTCAAATTATTCAAACTAATAGCTTTTAAAAAGATTCCAAAATCAATCTGGCCAATAAACAATTTGTTCAACATTAAAATTAAAAGGACTGTATATTTTTCATTTTAAATTAGAATTCAATTCTTTATGGAAAAAAATATATATTAATCATGTTTACCAAAATGACATCCACTTTGAAGGGAAAAAAAGTATACTGTTTAGAGCAAGATTGTCATACCCTTATCCTGCCATCGATTCAACCAGTTAAATTTGGCTCCGGTAAATTTGTGTGTGCGTTTCTATTCGCGGATGGAGTCCAAGAACTATGTATAGTGATTCAACAAATAGGGACCATAGCGATAGAAATCCTTCAAACTTCTGTTACCAGTAAAAGCCCGCCCGCTATTGCTTCGCGTATTATAAAAATAAATATTTTAAAAAGTAATAGTTTTAATGTTGACGTAAAAGTGAAAGTAATCTTATTTCATTCTTAATCATTCTTTTCATAGGTTTGTTATTTATAATAGCATATGGTCGATGAACTTGCATAAGTTAGAAGGGTCGTTGAATAGCATATAGTCGATGAACTTCTTTCATGACGCTAATGTTTAAATTTGTATGGCTAGTAATTGATCCTGCTGTAACTTTTGCATAATGAAGCAGCTTCTCTAGATCTTTTCAAGAATTATTTAAAAAAACTATTGAGTGCTTAGCTGAAAAACGATAAGAATTACTTTTTAATATAAGAGGTATTGAAAAATAAATTAAAATATTTCTAACATAAAATATGAATACAAATTCTAAAAATAAAAAAGTATTTAAAATGGACCACTTTATATTTATTTCATATGAAATAATAATATTTTTCAAATTTTTTTATAATGATATAAATGAAAGTAAATTATATTTTCTAGAAACTGAATAATATATGGTAAGGACAATTTTGTATTTTCAAATTTGAACTTCTGCTTTAAGTTACGAAAAACTTTTAAGTTTTTTAAAAAGCGAAACTTTAGAGGTGTTTGGCTTGACTTCAAATCTTGAAACATAAAACTTCTAAAATTCGGACCAAACATAGTCATACTCTTTTGGCTTTTTTGTTTGTTTGAGGTCATCGGGGTTCTTCTTTATGAAATTTTTGGACTAATTGCAGGTTTGAGAAGGTTCAACTTGCATTGATCAGGTCAAATTATGTTGGATACACATGGATTTGGGTTCAGTTGTCTTTCTTAAACAAAAGGAAAAAGCGAAATGAAAAACACTAAAGCTAAAACTCACTACCAACTCAAAACTTGTCAACACCAAGTTCAACTCACTTTGACCTGGTTGGACCGAGTTTTGGAAAAATTGACACCTGATACAACACACGCCAATTACAAAAACAGATAAAACTCGCTCCCGCCGAAAACCTGTAAAATCGGGTTCAAGTCGCTTTGGTCGGGTCGAATTAGGTTGTATACCCATGCGTTTGCACTCATTTATCATTCTCAACCAAAAGGGAAAAGATAAAAAGTACTAAAACGGATAAAACTCGCTCATGACAACATTCAACTCGCTTTGACCGGGTCGACCCATTTTAACAAATTCACAATTTACCTAGCCTGTTAATTACAAAAGCAAATAAAAATCGCTCTCGATACGAAACGCGTCAACAAATTAGGTTGGGTACCCATGGATTTGGGTTCAATTGTGATCATGCTCAACAAAAAGGTAAAAGTGAATGAAAAAACACTAAAGCGAACGAAACTCGGTCTTGATACAAAACTCGCCAACATTGAGTAGATATGATATGGATTTTTGGTAGCGACATTGGGTTCAATTGTGGTCATGATCAACAAAAAAGAAAAGGAGAAAGAAAAAACACTAAAGAGGATAAAATCGGTCCCGATACAAAACGTGGTAGCGGCCTTGGGAAGGGATGGTGGGGAACAACTTAGGATTCCGCCGACAGTATTTCGAGATGGACTGTAAAATGGTGGGCAAAGGCGATGATTTGTCTTCAAGTTAGGATACCCATGTGTTTAGGTTCAATTGTGAGCATGCTCAACAAAAAGGAAAAAAAGAAAGAAAAAACACTAAAGATAATGAAACTTGGCCCACATACAAAACTCATGTTAGCGGTTTTGGGAAACAGTAGTGGGAAATAACTTAGGATTCTGCCGACAGTATTTCGAGATGGGATGCAAAATGGTGGGTAAAGGCAATGATTTATGTTCAAGGTAGGATACCCATGTGTTTGGGTTATTAAACAAAAGGAAAAAAAACACCAAAGAAGATGAAACTCGGACCCGATACAAAACTTGTGGTAGCTACCTTGGGAAACGGTGGTGGGGAACAACTTGGGATCCTGTCGATTGTATTTCGAGATGGGCTGCAAAATGGTGGGCAAAGGCGACGATTTGTGCAAAAAGCCATAGACAAAAACCTAGTGAACAATAACTAAACACAAAGGCGATGATTTTTGCAAAAAGGTGGTGGGGAAAAGGTGGTAGCAGCCTTGGGAACGGTGGTGGGGAACAATTTAGAATTCCGCCGAAAGTATTTTGAGAAGGCTATGATTTATGTTTAAGGTAGGATACCAATGTGTTTGAGTTATTAAACAAAACGAAAAAAACACTATAGAGGATGAAACTCGATCCCGATACAAAACTCGTGGTAGTGGCCTTAGAAAATGGTGGTGGGTAACAACTTAGGATCCCGCCAAAAGTATTTCGAGATGAGCTGCAAAATGGTGGGCAAAAGCGATGACTTGTGCAAAAAGCCATAGCCGAAAACCTAGCGAACAATAACAAAACACAAAGGCGATGATTTGTGCAAAAAACCATAGACGAAAACCTAGTGAACAATAACTAAACACAAAGGTTTTAGAATGGAGAGTGGGGTAAAAGAAAGACTTTGAACTTCCCCACTTGCACTTGGAGGAGTGTGAGAGCCACTAATGAATAGTATCTCAAACCTAGGCTTTTATATATTATTATAAGGGGCGCCAATTCTTGAGGGGGTCGTTCTACTTCCAAAACTTGACCACTTTCTCATGCATGAACCTTTCACTAACAAAGGAGAAAGTCAACAAGTTTAAAAAGAAAAAGGTTTGCTCAAGCTATTGAGTATATGATTGTATACTTCTGATTCAACTGATCAAATGACATCTCCTCCTAGAAAGAAGAGAGGAAAGAAGCAGCTGCTTGCTGCTCTTAACTCTAACCCTCTGTTCATCGAAGGTTCGAAAGTCGAGAGAAACTCCTCTCCCTCTAAATCCCAGTCACCATGAGGTATGACCAAACGAATTCCCTATGAGTACACCAGGCATCAAACTGCGAACATGGTTCCAGCTTTGTCAATAAGACCCATGCAAGTAGGGGTGTACAAAAGGATTGGTTACCGTGGTAACAATATTAACTAGTAGCATTCGATTAATTTGGTTTGGCTAATTTGGAGAATTGGTCTGGTTTGGTTAAACAATTTAGCTTATTTGGTTTAGGTGGTTTGGTTTAGTTTCAACGCTGCTAACCAATGAAACCAATTAACCAATTAATGATACACCTCAAAGTTATTGGCTGTAATTTGAGGGTGCTGGATGGGCGACCTCATGTCCGCGGCTCTGGCGGTCCACTAATATCCTATGGTGTGCTCATCCGGGACAACCGCATTGTGGTTTTGAGGCTCACCCATGTCTCCCTCCTAGTTGATTGGCAGATGTGCTAGAGCCTCCTTCGCAACCAATCGTGCCTTTAAAGCTCGCTTGAAGTTCGTACAAGTCCGTTCAAGCTCTTGGTCTAACGGCAGTAAGTCGCCTGACTGGCTACGGTTCATGCACTACCCCTCCACACAGAATGCAAACACAACCCGTAAAGGCACAAAGGTGGAAAAGAGAGAATGCATAAAAGAAAAAGCTAGAATAACGAACTTTCACTTTTGCACAATACCTAATGAGATTCTATCTATCTCAGGTTGCAGCAGAAATCAACACATGATAATCAGGCTTCAATTGACTCAATCAAAACACTTCAATCGATTATAATCCAGAAGTATCACAATCCAAACCTCATTACAATCGATATCCCTAACACATGGAACTAGGGTTCTTCATATCCAAGTGAGAGAGGGTTCTACACTTCTACTCCATAGAGAGAGAGAGAGGGAGAGAGAGAGAGAGAGAAACATAATACAAAGCAGTCATACTCATCAAGATGGGAAGAATTTGCTATGGGATGATAATCTTCACTCCAAGGATGAAATCCAAGCTTTATTGATGAAACCCAGCTCCAAAATCACCTCTAGGGTGTGTTCTTCGCACTTTCTCTCTCTAAGACTCTGTTTCTAACTCTGCAAATCAATCCCCCTTCAAAAGACCCAAAATTGGGTTTAAACCCAGAATTCTGCGATTACACAGCCAGGCCATATGACCGTTTAGAATTGCCATATGCCCGTATGGAAGTATAAAATATCTCGTTTCACTTAAATACCTTCATGCACGCTACACGGCCAGAACCGCACGGCCGTGTGAAATCATGGCCTGCCCGTGTGAGCTCTCTGGGAATTCCACACGGCCACAAAGGACCCTTTACACGGCCAGTGTGGTTTGCCCCGCAAAGGGTTCCACACGGCCACGTTACACGGTTGTGTGGCATTTAGGTCTGGCCGTGTGGTTTCCCCAGCTTTTCGTCAATCGTTCCAACTTCGTCCAATCGACCCTGAACTCATGCCCAAACCTTCCTTCACGTACTAGGAACTGAAATATCACAAACAAGAACAACCTAACGTGAAACCGGCCTAAAATACGAGAGATGAGCTGGGAAACGGTGCGGTTTGGTCCAGACCAGACCATATATACGTTCTATG